GGCGTGTGTTCACCAGTCCATCGCATGTTGTGCTGCTGAGATCTCTAGAAATGATACGCCTGTTGTTCTTCTGCAGTCATGATTGGTAGTGCTGTAACTGTGATGACATGTGCTGCTGATATTTACTGAAGACCTCAGGGGCCGCTCCGCACATCTGGAGTCTAGACTCAGTGGCTCTACAGGACTGAGACTCCCTCGCTCTCTTCCTCTCTCTCGCCGCTGTCCACTGTTTGCATAGCTGCTTGTGTTTAATTTAAATTAAAGTTGCCCCCTTCAAGTGGTTAATTGATTCTAGCGATGAAGGACAAAGTAACTGGAGCCGAGTGTCCTCAAAACACACCGAGAGAAATATTATTAAACCAGCCCGTGAACATCTGTGTTTGTGTGAGAGAAACAATATGATTATCTGTGGAATTGTTGGACTGAGAGGAGCCATATATTTTCCTTAATGCATCCTTGTGTTTACAAAAACACTCGCACAAAGGCTCTTGTTAGCTGCGGTGTAATGACGAATGCCCGTGTGGTTGCGGGTATGTGCGGTTGAGAGGTCTGTTTTACCTGTTAATCTCTTTATCCCCTCCCTCCCGCTCTATAGCTCATACACTGAGAGCTCTAAAACTTGACAGTAGTTTATTTTACAGACGCTCTCTGGCTTCTTCTGTCCTGCTGAAGTCATCATGCTCATACAGCATTAGTAAGGAATATAATGGAGTGAAGCATTTTATCCACCACATACTTATCAATGCAAAAAAAAAAAAAAGCAAATATCATGTACATAAATTATTAGTTTTAATCTTTTATTTAATTATTTTATTTTATATTAGCTTTTATTTACTCAAGTGGCAAATAGTTATTTATTAAATATAATTAAATAGTCATTAAATTGGGTTTAAAGTTGTCAGTTTGGTAAAATAAAAAATATTATTAAAATATTACGTTATGAAATATTATTTATGTATCATTCAATTGTTTGGGGTAGGTTTTTTATGTATATTATATTAGTTTGTGTAAGTTTTCAAAGTCTCTCATGCTCATCAAGGCTGTATTTGGCTATTTGATCAAACATGCATTGATCAAAAAATTTAATTCATTTTAAAATTGGTAAAATGTAGGAATCTTTAATGAATAGAAAGTTCCAAAGAGCAGCATTTATTTAAAATGTAAAAACCTTTATTGTCACATGATCAATTGAATGCATTCTTGCTAAATAAAGTATTAATTTCTTTTATTAAGTTTATTAAAGGCTTACATTTTTGGAAAACATTAAATATGTAAGAAATACTTAAACAAAAAAAATGTAAGTAAATTAATATGCAAAAATATCCAAGATGTTTTTTGGAATTTGCTGTTTGTTTATTTCATTGTTTTTTTTTGGTATATAAAAACGTACTAGTTTTTACATTGGTTTATTTTTCCAAATGGCCCTCACAGAGAGGTAGTTCTGCATTCGAACCTTAGAATGATGGAAAATCTGGTTGAAATGATCTTTGTGTTTGTGAGTGAAAGAGAGAGTGAGAGAGAAGGTATAAATGAACCCCTGATTTACAGCCCGTCTTTAGGTAGAGCCCCTCCTTTTTCCATGTTCACCCCTTCTCTCCTTTCTCTGCCCATAATAATGGACACGGTGTTTTTACGAGAGGACCAAACCCTATTCACACTGCAGCACTGAGTCGGCACTAAATGGCCTCGTTCAGCTCACTGCTATTAAACAGCTCATAAAACCTGGCCACACAACCGCTCGAGTCACACAGATGCAACTACACAGCTCCTGATCCCAGCGTGATGTGGTCTGAGACAGCTGGGTTTGCCTATTTGCATGATGGTTAGGCATCTAAAATGACCTGAATTAACCATAATCATAATTAAATATATACTCACCGTCAGGCCATCCAAAATGTAGATGAGTATTGTGATGTTTTTATCAGCTGTTTGGACTCATCGGCACCCATTCACTGCAGAGGATCCATTGGTGAGCATAATGCTACATTTCTCCAAATCTGTACAGATGAAGAAACAAACTCATGTACATCTTGGATGGCCTAAGGATGAGTACATTTTCAACACGTTTTCATTTTTGGGCCAACTATTCCTTTAAACTTGAGCAGTGTGGAGACAAACATCAAACGAGTCACAAACAGTCATACAAGCTTATTTAACCAATCAGAATAGAGAATTCTGGCGAGCCACACAATAATAACAATTATTAGCGACTTCTCTGAGGTTCAGGTTCTTTCCCACCCTGCTTGCTTTCTCTTTCTTTTCTTTTTCTTTTTCTTTCTGCCTGACACGCTGTGAGTGAAGGATATCAAATTCCCCTGAAAGCTCTCGGACAGGTGAGCGCTGCTTTGGGTGACCTCGATCTCTCACATTACGGTGCTAAACTGCAACTCCCTGCTGTTCTCGATTACACACGTATGCCTGCACACACACAGGTGTGATCCTTACACATCATTCTGTTTCACTTGTCACTGAGTATCATACATCACTAAAGCCAAGAGTTTTAAATTACACTGCATTATATTTATCAGGGTTCACAAAAATTTCAAAATCCCCAGTAGCCCTTCAGGCAGCCACTCTCAGATTGTGAATTTAACTAGCCTGAATAAAAAAGCCAATTTTTTTTGACAAAAGCATTGGCTAAACTTCAGCGGAAACACGATCAAAAATGTCTGTGATTGTATATTTTTCCTTCAAATAACAAGTCAAGAGTAGGGGTGCAGGGTCACGAATCGAATATTTTTTTGGGTCAGCACCCCCCCCCCCCCATAAAACTAGTAGCATAACTAAACAAGTTCAAACATGATTAAAGTCAAAAAAAGAACAAATACACAAATGACAAGCAGTGATAAATAGGTCTAAAATTTGTTTTCAGGAGGGGAGAGCGGGGCACAAAGTAACACTTTTTGACTTAGACAAATCCACATGGGTTCAGAATAAAAAACATTTTTCCACAGTAATTTTACACTTGTCTAGTACAAATATTTCGCTTTGTTTCATAATTACAGTGTATACGTTTTTCTTTATTTACCCTCAAAAAAATCACCCTACATTTGATACTATTGAGATAAAACTGAAATGCTTCAAGCTGGAAATATTTTGATCAATAATATTAAATATTTTCACTAACAATATCGCTCCATAGATGCGTTAGTGGGAATTTGATATTAGCTTCATTGTGAGCCAATGTAATCTGCACATGTGGTATTGATATAATAATATTAGTTTTATATCACATTCATCTAAAAGACACATTGAGCAAAACCAGTCCTGCTAGGATCTCGGTGGGTAGTCAGGAAAAGACCAACAAAAGATTCCAGTGTGCTCCTCAAGAAAGAGAGGCCTAATTACCTGTCTGTACCAACCACAAACTCAAAAGGCAACAGCAGGGGAAACAAATCAGAAGGAAATTAGTGAAAGCATAACTGGAGGGAAAGAGGGGGAAAATGAATAACAGAATGATGATCTATGTAATCGTCCCTAGATAGGTCAACTGTGGTATTGTGGTCAGACTGGAACACTTGTGCTTAGGTGAAACCTCAAAAAGTTTTCAAGAGCTCATGTTCTTACAACAATCAGTGAGAAAGCACCTGCACTTTTCATCTCTTGCTGATCCGTGGAAGTTCAACACATTAATTTTGAAGACAGAATAGAATGATTTGTTGTCAAAATACAATATATTTAGCATCTAAGCAGACAAACAAGAGGAGGAGTAGGCTAGGTTAAAATCCGGTTTTGCACCCATGTATGGGTTGGCATTGTAAACATGGCAGTTTTAGATATTAGAGCATATATCGTCCTCCACCTACAGGGACTCAGAGGTTAATACTTCTCTTGTGGTTCTCCTCTATCACCATCAGGGTTATGTAACACCAAGAGGGCACTGTGGGTGTGTTCCAGGTGCAGCCATTCATTTCTGTCAGTCACACTATTATGATATGATAAAGAGGAAGTGCAATGGCCAGGCTGGATATTACTGGCAAATGTTATTTAGGACACTGATAAGACTTTAGTTGTGATACATTTGTTTTAGTATAAATCTTGCAGAATATTTCAAGCTATTATCACGATAAACAAGTTCATTTACTACTAGGCTACTTGAGTATAATGGAACAGTAAACTATAATAAGAATATTTTACCCAAAATTCTTAGTAGCCTACCGACTATTGACTGGTCAATACAGTGTTCCAGTCATCATTTGTTCATATGGTTATTTATTTATTGTTGTGTAGCAACGTTCGTTTGTGGTTTTTTATCTTAGTGGACGGGTGTCAATTATTGACCTCATATTATAGCATTTGAATGTAAATTTGTGTTCTAAATATTTTATTATGTGGTGTAAGTAATAAAGTTTTGGGGGTTTTTGCTACCAACATCTACCACAGTCTCTAGTATCTCATTGTTTGCATATAACGTAACAAAAACTACTCTTCGTTTTTAAAACAAGCGACTTCATAGCTCGTCTGTTGCTACAAATCTCTCTAAAAAAAGAAGGAAAATGTTTTAGCGCCATCTGGTGGCCGTAATGCCACTCTTTCACCTATTAACATATGAAAACATTTTGACAGAATAAAAATGACACATTAATGTGACTCTGACATAACAGATGTTTAATTGTATTTGGAGAAAGCAATATTTCAAAACATTGCAACAGTTTTCCAAGGTCTGATAATGAGTCATATATTTTCTATTCTGTGGCATTGCCAAAAGTTCAAAGTCAGATTGTGGGCAGTTTGTATTGTGCCATCACACTAGCCACTACTTAAAGGCGATGCATGCTTGGATATCTCAACTGCAGCTTTGATTGTGGTGAAAACTTCGTTTTACAAGTGCTGATGATGTTCATGTCTTGGACACTGATCACAGTAGCACAAGTCTGCAGCATTTTGCTAATTTATTTATAATTTAGTATTATGCATGCAGCATTTAATTCAGAGAGTACATGGAATATTTGCACTTTTTAAAAATGTCACACCTTCATTTAAAATGAAGTAGTGAGGCAAAACATGATTAAATATGTTTAAAAAATGGAAAGAATTAGTGGACAGATACAGAACTTGAGACATTTTTTCTTTAAACATTCAACCATAAGATAGTCATAGGGCACATTATTTAACTGTTTTATGCAGTGTCATTGGTTGATGACATGCTGTTGATTGAGATGTGAATTGTATTTGAGTAGTGCAGCTCCTCACACAAAAATACTTGTAAAGCTAGTAATTCCAGTTTTTTAAACAAACACATAACCAGAGAAAACATTTCTTGCTTAAAGAGCACAGACTACATTCAAAACCTTAATAAAACAACTATATTTGTAGCATCTCCAGCAGAGACCTGACCTATAAAATACACCTCATTTAAATACGGCAACCTACAAATCCTTGTCATTTTGTCCTGATGCTGCACACAAATACGTTTCTATAAAAATATTACATCACAAGCTTGAACTTTGTACAATATCCCATAGGACTATCATTCTTATTAAGAAAATGTGCAAGACAAAAAAAAATATTTCATTGTCATTAAAAATGTCTCATTAAGTGCATTCCTTTTAAGCCACAATGTGCACAAACTTACTTGTTATAATATATATATATACTTTTCCTCTAATCTCTGTCCCACTGATTCCCTGAAAGAAGCTTTTCTTCATTCGGATGACTGACTAGTATGTGTTGTAATAGTTATGATTGTGAAAATGCATTGTTGCAAACAACACTGTATTGCAACACAAACCCTGTACTGAGGTTATCATCATTTGCACAACCCACATCGTGTCCAAAGTATAACAGATCACATTCAGTTCATGGAGAGGGTCTCCTCTGCTCCATCTTCAATAAGGCATCATCACTTAAAATAACTGAGCATATTTAAGTTATCAATATACGTATATCTCTTGATGATAAATTATAGGATTCATTGTAGTCACCACAGCAGTGGTGATTTGTCATGCAAGAGGCTGATGGGAAATGTAGTTCCGTCACCAAAAAAGCAAGCAGAAGGTGGGGAGTGGGAGAATCTAAAAGCAAAGTTTCATTTTCATGCAGGATTTTGGAAATTCGTCCATCTCATTCAGAAGCGGAAACAGTCATTAGCTTCGTCTGGGCAGTCAAAGTTGATTCCTTCACACAAGGAGTCCTCAAAAAATAGAAAAAAAAAGATCAGGGTAAAGTTAAACATAAGGAGAGTATTAGGATCTTTAAGTACCAGAATGCTTCCTTCAGAAACTATCTAGACCACTTCACGTGTTTAATTTAAAACAATTCAACTCTTTGAACTCAAGTGATCTCTTGTGCTCACAGTATATAAATGATACTTTCACTTGGTGTAACACTTGGTTTCACACTTGGCTTTTGAAAGGGTAAATAGGTTTATCTGAAAAGATATAATGTCACAACCCTATGACCACTGGAAAACATGCGTCTACAGAGTTCTGCTTTAGAGCATTTGCATAATTCGGTCACTCATCACAATCAAGCCACAACCTACACATATAAAAACATGTGATTTAAACCTCTAACGTCAATCCAAGATCATCGAGAATCATCATACAATCACAACAGCACATGGTTTGTGACATCGCACATACACCGAAAACTACTTTCTAAAAATGCAATGGGGTGATAAAGCTTTCAAACTCATGGGATACTCACAGATGACTGCCAATCACATGAGACTGTGAAAATAGAGGGATAAGGATGAAGAGGAGGGGAGGAAGAAAGAGGAGAGACAAATATGGAGAACTGAGGCCCAAGGACAAATTGGCATGTTCAGAGACAGAGTAAAACATGGACATTACTGAAGCACATCACTTTGAGATTTACCCCAAAATATGAAGATTCTGTCATCATTTACTCACCCCCATGTCATTCCAAACCATATGACTTTTGTTCTTCTGCAGAACACAAAAGGAGATGATATGCTGCTAGTTTCTATACAATGAAAGCTAATGGTGAAAGCATATTTCTCTCCTGATTCAGACAAGGCAACTTTCTAAGTGGAAATGCATTATTATTATTTTTTAAAGTTATATTTATGGTCTTTTTTGCCTTTATTTGATAGGACAGTAGAGAGCTGACAGGAAAGCATGGAGGTCAGACAGAGGACAGTTGCGTTATATGTCGGCACATTAACCACAAGGCTATCTGTGTCAACAAGAGAATGCAATATTATTGATACAAGACTTGTATTTTAGCTGGAAGTTAAAAAAAATCTTGATGGATTTAACATTAACAACATTAATTGATAGGCTGGAGCCGTGTAGATTATTGTGATGTATTTATCAGCTGTTTGGACTCTCATGCTGACGGCACCCATTCACTGGAAAGGATCCATTGGTGAGCAAGTGATGTAATGCTAAATTTGACCAAATCAGTTCTGATGAAGAAACAAACTCAGTCATGTACATCTTGGATGAGCAAATCTTTGAGGTTGAGTAAATGATGACACAATTTTATTAACAACATTAATTGATAGGCTGGAGCCGTGTAGATTATTGTGATGTATTTATCAGCTGTTTGGACTCTCATGCTGACGGCACCCATTCACTGGAAAGGATCCATTGGTGAGGAAGTGATGTAATGCTAAATTTGACCAAATCAGTTCTGATGAAGAAACAAACTCAGTCATGTACATCTTGGATGAGCAAATCTTTGAGGTTGAGTAAATGATGACACAATTTAAATTTTGGGGTGCACATGAAACAAACTGGCAACGAGAAAATAATTCACTGATTTTGATCTGGTATTATAGAGAAAAAAATACTTAATAGAAAGTCTAAAAGAGAAGGAAAACAATTAGATGTTGTTGTTATAAAGTTAAGTAAGATAATGCCAATTAGTTAGCTGGTAACTGTTAGCTGGTAAGTTATGATTATTGTATGATCTGTGGTGAGCACCCATACAGAACAACAAAAATTAACACACACACACACACACACCTGGATTTCACAAATGTACAATTATTATTCGCAGTCAACAACATATAGAGGGGAGCGCTGAACCTCACTCTGATGAGGTGAATAAGCACAAGAGGAAGAAGATTTATGTTTAATCAAACTTTTGATTGACAGCTTGATTAAACCACAGAGAACATAGCTTAAAGGAATGTTATGGGTTAACAAGTTAAGCTGTTACCACAGACAAAACTTTTGTCCCATCATCGAGTTAAAAATAACCACAATTACATTTACATCAATGCACTTAGAATCAGTGTTATTTTAGTAATATTTGTATGCCATTAAAACATCACTAATATTTTGAATTAGCTTTTTTAGTTTTCAATTAGATTTTAGTTTGAGTAATTTTGCTATGCTTTATAATAGTTAATATATGTTTATATATATATATATATAATATACGTTTTAGGTACCAATAACGGCACTGCTTAGAATGAAAGTCGATTGGGCAAGTCATACTAGAAGGTTTAAAAGCACAGATGTGCAGCTTGTATTGTGGTTAAAGCACTTAAATCAGTTTGTCTGTACAAACAAGTTATTTGAGCAGTAAAGTTGCCTAAATTGCCAGTAGATGTGAAACTATTGTTCCAAGTGGAAGAATTTCTGGTTACACATTCTGATTCTGAGTTTTTCTTTCCCTGATAACCAAATGTGAAAGTTACTGTCTTTCCAGATTTGCAGTATTGAAGTAAGTGATTCTATTAAGCTAGTGTCATATTGTCAAGTATAGTGTGCATGTAACATTATGCAGTGTCCCCATTGTAAAAAACATTTACTTTTTTATTCTATTTTGTTAATAAGGTTAGTCAAAATTATTTTCTGTGGTAACTGACAGCATGTCACAAATGCTGGTGATAGAGCTTAAGTTGTACTGAACCCAAAAAGCTGCTTTAACCTGGGAGTTCTCTGAGAAAAAACAACAAGCATCACAGACACCAACATGCAGTGATGAAATTGCAATTCCAGATCAAAATAAAAGCTATAAGATACCAAAAGGAAAACATAGCATGCTTTCAAAAACATTGCTGAAAAAAGACACAAATCTAAGAGATAAATGTGGCACCAATTATTTTAAAATGAATATTTAATGTTCTCCATTAATATTTCATACTGCAAGAGAGAACACCACAGAGACAGATGTGGACTCACCAGTGGTCGGTCCCGATGTGTATTCACTGCCTCCACATTCAGATAAAACATCTCCACTTTGCAGCCTAAAACATGAACCAGAATGATCTGTGAGCAGAAGTTTGGTGATGAACAAAAGTGAGGAAACAACTGTCCAACACACCATAAGCAACCGGAGTGAGCTTCATGACAGTATGAAGGGGACATTTCAAATAGGGCAGATCATCTATGAGAGAAAAGAAAAATAATATAAATAGGTTTCAGCTGACAGTCTTAAACGTTACTGTGATGCATTGATAATTATTGTTACTTATTCTGCTCAGTTATCAGTATAACTGTCTGATATAGATGAGGTATGAGATTTTTGTGAGAATGATTAGCTAGAATGGGTGAAAAAATTACAAAGCAATCAGTATTTTTTATTGATCTTTTTTTTTTTTTATAAATCGAAGAATATTAAAGAAACAATACTACATGAAAATACATTGCTAAATATATAATGCATTTTATAATATTATTATTGCATTAAATTGATCAAAAGTCACAATTTATGACATTTTTAAAAACTTTTTTTACATTATTAATTTATTTTAATTGAAAATATCAGAAGGGTAAGCAAAAATCTCATGGTCAGCAGGCAAAAAAATCCACTTGTTTTTAGTATTTTTCATAAGTGAAAATGCATCTTGCCTCCACTCTTGTCCAAGAAATAGGCTAGTAGGCAGCGCATAACTGCCTGGTGGCAGATGACTAGTACATTGCCTTGTCTCTCAAGCTCCATAATCACAGGCTCTAGTCGCTGAACCAGGTCCTGATACGACTGCGAGAAAAGAGAGCCTTTTAAAATAGTTAGACCAGAAACCAACACAAACCAAACAACCTACTCAACTATAGAGAGTGAGAAGGGACATACTTTGAAGAACTGCAACAAAGAGATACGTTCATGACGTGCTGTACCTCTCCTCCCGGGTATCTGTAGTGGTATTTATCCTGATCCCTTAAAGCAAACTCTTCTGGGAATGTGTTCTGGATCATTTCGTAGGTCATCTCTTCACATACACCCTGTGTCAGAGCAATATACGCTGATGAATGTACATACAGTATAATACATATAAACTGCATGTAATCTCAGATGGGATCTTGGCATACTAACAGCATCTATCTCATTGAGGATTTTCCACTGTTCATACGGAACTCCCAGCTCTTCAGCCGTCTGGATGGTTCTTCTTAACTGGCTGGTCCAAACCTTCAAGTCAGACAGCTTATGCTCCTCAATGAACTCACGCAGGGCACTTGCAAACTACTCGCAAGGGAAAGAGCAAGTCAAGCATCTTATGATGAATAAACGCTATGAAGGCAGCACTAAATAAGTCCAGACCTGTCTCCCTCGGGGGGAGAGTTCAGAATCTCCTCCAATGCGGCCCTGGACGTTGTGTTCGCTCTCTCCGTGCCTGCACAGGTAGATGGAGTGCGAGTGCACGTGGATGTTCATGAGGTAGTAGACGATCTTGCTCTGGATGTAGTCCTGAACACGGTTCACCAGATACCGACGGCCCACGTTCATCACTTTAATGAAGGACAAATCTCTGGGAAAAATAAGTGAATGTTATGATTAGGAAAGCCTTCTGTATGGGTGGTGCATGCTAAGCCATGAAACACTATAGACAAATAAATTTAGGTGTAAAACACATTATATGAACATATTTACATATAAAGGTCTTAAAAGTAGCATCTTCTGCTTGATTATATAAGTGTCAGAGAGAGGGAGAGAAATGGTCATGTGGTCATCTTAAATATGTACTTCGCTTACAAAACATGTACATTCAGATACGCTATCATGTGTCTATTTTCTAAACATTCTTACTTGTCATATTCATCAGGATCTAGTGGTTGGTAAGTGACTTTATAACATTCTATGCGTTTCAGGAAATCATCCATGACTCGCTCTCTGTGTGTCTCTGGATAGTCTGGACTTGAAACCTTGACATCCTGAAGATATAAGAGCACATAGGAGACAACTGTTGAGAAGACCATAAAAACCTATACTGGTATGTTGCTGTACTTTATTATACCATTAGTTTAAAGGAAATGCAAACCAAACATCACAACATACCAGGATGTTAGCTGCAATAACCTCTGGATCGTCACATACTGACTCCACAAAAAACACCTGTAAAAGTAAACACACAGAAAATGGTGACCACACGTCACTTTTACAAAAAGATAACTCATCATATAATGGAAGTTATACCTTGTATGCATTCTCCTGTATAAAATCTAATATAAGATCCCGCCTCTCCCGAGTTGTGTTTGTAGCATCAAATACCTTAAAAGGACAAAAACAGATTATAATAAATATAATGAAGGAAGTCTTGAACCTTATCAACATTCTTAAACCCTATTAAATTTAAGTAAATAATTGATGTGAACAGAGAAAAGGTAAATCCTTACAGCTATTTGTCCACCTTCCTCATTAAGGTAGGTCTTTACATCTTCCAGGGCCACCAAGGCACACTGTCTATTTGTGAAAATGAAAAAATGCAACAATAGACATGTACCTAATTCAAATAAATTTGTCATGATGACAAAATGGTCATGCCATTAAAATCCAACAAAGATATAATCCTACTTTCGTATCTCCATGGCTTCCTCATTGTCATGTCTGAAGAAGTCATAAGACTTGTAGGCTTTAACTGCTTCCCTCCGATACACCCCCAGGTTAAACACTGCATGATAAACCAAAAAACAAGAAATTATGGTTATTCCTCACATACTTTATCAGTTTTAGCACCAGTGTAATGCATCAAGGTGACATCTCTCTGCAAGTAAAGATGGAACAGTTCAATTCCCAGTGTGTAAGGAACCTCTGACTTCAGTTACAGTGATTAAACACTTGCATTGTGGGTCGTGACTCATGATGTACTTAAGAGAGTTTGAATTTCAGTGTGTTGGTTGCCTACATTTAAATAATGCAAGTTCAAATTTAGCCTCTTGACAGACCATAATGTCAAAATGGTCAGCTGAGAGCTAAATTAAGCATTTAAAATTGAAGACAGATGCTATTTATAGTAAGTGTCATTTGATATGATGCAACTGTCTAAATTCAACTGCCCACTCACCCTTTGTTGGAACTCCTATCCAGTTGAGGTAGCGTGTGAGTTTCTTTGACATATACGTCTTGCCTCTGGCAGGGAGGCCGATCATGACAATCATGGTGGGGGAGTTTGTCATGTAAGACGCCCATGCTGTGGTCAGACAGACACAGAAAAACAGACAGCACAACATGAGCTGGAGGAAGTTACAATCTATAGTACTAACAATTATAATCTGCCAAATGTAAATTTCACATATGGGACACCAACAGATACTTGTGGTTTATGGTACTTTCAACAATGGACTACAAAATAGGACCTGAAACCCTGAGGCTGTTGACACCTTGCTTACACTGAGGCAAACTCTTTGCTATTACTCCAGTCTTCAGTGTCACATGATCCTTCAGAAATCATTCTAATATCTAGTTTGGTGCTCAAGAAACATGTCTTATCATTAGCTATGTTTCCATCCAAAGATGTGAATTTAACTTGTGCGCAAAACTGGAATATCGCATAAAACATATGTTGAAAATCGAAAGATAAAAAAGGTGACAGTTTTTTTTTCAGGACTCTTTGATGAATATTAAGATCAAAAGAAAAGCAATTATTTTAAATATAATATATTGTAACATTATGAATGTCTTTATGATCACTTTTAATAAATTTTTGTCCTTTGTATGTATATAAAAATGTATATTTTTTTCTTTCTTTAAAAAAAAATATTTTGAACAGTGGTGTATAACATATTAACCAGTCTAATTTAATTTAAGCACTGCATTTCTTTATAGACTATTTATAAAACAGTATGGTATCTATTTAGTTATTCTTCCAATGTCTAGGAATGTGTTTTAAAATGACAAAAGAATGTCACATGCAACATGCAAATGAAATCCCTGGACTTTTTTTTTTAAATAATAAAAATATTAGGTATTAAGAAAGCCTCAGGTGAGCAATTTGATAATGACTGAAAAAAAAAAAAACTAGAATAATCCCTAAACAAATGTGCCTTTACCTTGATCTGTAATTTGAAACCAGCATACCAGACAATGCATATCTAAATGAAGGGAAGTGCTGTAGGTTTATTTCAAATCTAGACTGACAGTGAACTTCTGCGTAGCAGCCTCGGTGACAGCTGACATTATAAGAAGGGCAACTGTGATATGACTCAGGGTCGTCGTTAAACTTCACTGGGTCAGGAACAAAACTGTTATGTGGGAAACATTCTCATCAGCAGAAAAGTACCCCCCAGACCTCTCTAACAGCCATGAAAACAGACTGCCATAACCAGCTGACCACCTTAGGCTGGTTTAAATAGGGATTCCTAACAGCTTCTTGATCTGTGAGATGTGAAAATGTGTATACTTACAGCATTTCTTCTCCTGGCCTCTGGGCTCTAATTTCTTGGCTTCAGCAGAACTGGTTGTACCAGCCTCCTGCTGCACCCATGCAGACATACTGAATCTGACAGACTTAATCACTCTCTCCCTCACTCTTCCCGCTGTAAAAACATAGTGCACCTGCAGGGAGAAAGAGGCGAAATGAAGACAAAATACGCAGACTATGTCACTGGAAACAACGTTATTGGTTTGTTACAAATAACTAACGACAATTAAAACATTTTCTCCATACAATATGCTCTATTCAGTGACAATGCAGCTTCTATTCTTGCCAAATCGTCGTTTTTGTTAATCACCCGCAGCGCAGTAACAGAGAAGAGGACGCTGAGGATACCATGTTACGTCATACCCGTAAACAGCAATCAGTCACTGATGGCCTATCATAGAATGGATAGATTAAAAGAACACATTGAAGCACCATGACTATTAACTAGATACGTAAAGCGTGAGACCTTACGGTTTCCTAATCGTTGTCTCTTGAACCTCAGGGGTCCGTATTTCATTCCGTACTCACCGGCAGGTGTAATGTCTTTGCGCAGGGTGTTGTTGCCTCAACCGGTTTTGCACTTGATGACCTTCCATGGCAACTAGCGCCAAGCGCGTGAGCGAAGGTGTGTCTCTACGTCACTATTTACTTACCGTAATCCATGCAGAAGAATGACATCGCGTCCGTCACCAAACATTACAGCGTACTAGTCAGTGGTGGGGAGTTTGAATCATCTCAGTGACTCGACTCTTTTGAATCAACCATTCACGAAAGGATTCACTCAGTGGCACTTTCATCGTTACATCATAAACTCATATACAGCTATAGAAAAGGGCTGTAACATCCTAAAGCAATAATAAAAGGTTTCAATAACGTCCATACGTAATTTTAACACACTTTTATGATTCGTTCACGACCTAAATGATATTATAAATGATTATAGCCAGTAATTACAGGATAGCAGCAAAATCACCAAACCCACACTTTTGTTTGTGATAAATAAATTAAAACTAAAAATAAGATTTAAGATTTTTTTTTTGAGTCGTCAGAAACATTACATTCTACATTCACAATATTTAAATGCTATAAAAATTGTATTTGTGAAAACTCCTCCCTATGGAAGTCCGTTTCCGCCACTGAATAAAAAATAAAAGAGGTCATTGAGACTTTTTAATCTCACAATTCTGACTTTTTTTCACAGAATTGTGAGATATAAACTGAATAAAAAAAGTGAATAATTTTGTGAATAAAAATGAATTTCTTCGCCACTGAATAAAAAAGAAAAAAAGGTAATTGTGAATTTTTATCTCACAATTCTGACTTTTTTTCACAGAATTGTGAGTTATAAAGTCAGAATTGTGAGATATAAACTCGCAATTCTGAGAACATATCAGTCTTTTTCCCCCCTCAAAATTGTACTTTAACTCAAATTGCAAGTTTATATCACGCAATTCTGACTTTATAACTCGCAATTGCGAGTTTATATCTCACAATTCTGAGAAAAAGTCAGAATTGCGAGAAAAAAAGTCAGAATTGCGAGTTTTTAATCTCACGATTGTGACTTTATATCTCACAATTCTGTGAAAAAAAGTCAGAATTGTGAGATAAAGACTGATATGTTCTCAGAATTGCGAGTTTATATCTCACAATTCTGAGAAAAAGTCAGAATTGCGAGAAAAAAAAGTCAGAATTGCGAGTTTTTATCTCACGATTGTGACTTTATATCTCACAATTCTGTGAAAAAAAGTCAGAATTGTGAGATAAAAAGTCGCAATGACCTTTTTTTTTCTTTTTTATTCAGTGGCGGAAACGGGCTTCCATACCTCCCACCCCAAACATTTGGTTAAGGATTGACGATTACAGAAGTTTCTTATAGAAAGCTTTGTTTATTTGAATACAATGCCAGTAAAAAGTGCTCACTCCAAGAGCTTCAGTGTGCAAGTTTTTCAGTACCCTTTTCTAAAAACTCAAAACTTTAATTCCATCACCCATTCAGCAGTTGACATATCCATGTCTCGTACATAGCTTATCTAAAAGTACTGTTATATGCAATTATTCACAAGGCACATAGTGGTTATGTTTTAAGTGGTTGCTTCAAGACCAGATAATAAACGTGCAGAGTATACATTTATGAAAAACAGTGGTCACTGGTTGGAATATAACAGCAAGCTGTTAAGTAGTTACAGTAAGCAAGTGCATCAAGAAATCCTACTGCTGCATGGGTGTGCTTTACAGTTCTACAATCTCAATGAGGAAATCTCAACGACAAAGTTGAGCTGAACACAGTTTTGCTCGGACTGGCCGAAGGCACAGGGTAAGGAGGAAAGGTCATGAATAAGTTTGGTCAGTAGATTTGCACAGTTTTTAAAATATAACTTGGTCATCTGGTGGGTTGTGCACACTTAAGAGTCTCTCTGGACCAAGTGTTAAGATGCTGGCAGTGTAAAGGAATCACATCAAGGTTTGATCTTCCAGAGCTGTTAAAAAAACAACATACAATGGATATTGTTAGTTAAAGGGGTCATATGATGCGATTTCAAGTTTTCCTTTCTCTTTGGAGTGTTACAAGCTGATTGTGCATAGATAAGATCCCTGAAGTTGCAAAGACTAAAGTCTCAAATCCAAAGAGATATTCTTTATCAAAGATAAGACTCTGCCACGCCCTCCTAAAACGGCTCGTTCTAACACGCCTCCACATATCTACCTCACTATTTGGAAATATTTGCGTAATGCCGCCCAAATGTTCACGCAAAGAAAGAAGGCGTGGTTTCAGTAACCGCAGTTAGTGTTGAAGCAGCATGTCAGGGAGACGCTGTGTGTTTCTAGGCGAATGCAAAAGCACTTTTTTTGGCCTTCCGAAAGTAGATGCATTTAGGAATCTTTAAGATTACTTACAACAGAACAGCAATACAGTTTATGGACGACCGTTTCGTGAACCTAGGAGAGGAGGTAATTCTGACTTTGCTATGACAATCTGGCGCTTCTGAATCAGCTACTGTACGTATGTTTTGTTATTAGTTTAAGTATTTGCTGTTGACTGTTCAAATGCGGAGTTTTGCGCATCATGTGTGTGTGTTTGTGCGCGCGCGCGAGAGAGAGAGAGAGAGACAGAGACAGAGAGAGAGAGAGACAGGGTCACATCACAGTGGAGTCAGCTGTCTTAACCGTGGCTTGTGTACTGCACACCTACCAGCTTCATCACTGTCTGTCACGTGACTCTGTTCCCCTTTTCGGGCTTGAACTGATTGTAAAACTAATGACATTATTTACGGTCTTTACATTTATTTTGAAAGATGAAGCTCACGATTATGGTAAGGGGCGTTACATTTCCGACGAGTGCTTGCGGTGTTCGGCCAATCACAATGCACTGGGTCAGCTGGCCAATCAGAGACTGCGGAGAGGCGGGGCATAGAGGACCTACAATAATGTACAGTATTTGAAAAAGAATGTGTTTTTTGAACATTAAAGCATGTCAACATATTCTGTTACACCAAATACACAAAATAATGATCTTTAAAAAAAGCATCATATGACCCCTTTAAAGATTGCTTGTATATGTTGTACTGCTTGATGATAACAGTCATATACAACAAAGAGTGAGCAACCCCCACTATCCTGATAACAGGAAGAAGTACAAAAGCGGTTATGACTTTAGAGTCATAGATCATCAGATCATCGAGATCAATAACTCCAGACATCTGCATTTCAGTGGGACAGTAAAACAGACCCAGGATACAGGTGGAGATAACCACTGTACTTAGAGCGCAAATGTTTCCCTCACCCGGATGTTGAACCCTAGTAAATCGCTGACAGCAGCAGAGATGGCCGACAGGATGACCACTCTCGTGATATTGTAGATGAGCGGGTTCACTGTCAGACCTAGCAGACGAAATGGAGTGTCCAGTTCCTGAAAGCAGCAAATGATGATCAATGCAAGCAAGGCATGTTTTATTATTTCCCATGAATGATGCTTTTCTGATAGTCTTACTTTTAGTAATTTTGTGGCCAGCCTCAGCACGTTGTTCACTATGTTCAGCTGATCCTTTTTGTTGGGTTTCTTCTCCATCTTAAGATACAAGTTTATCTGAAGCAGAAAGTGGATAACACGTTACAGTAAGGTTTCATCTGCTAACAATAGTTAATTACACATACTTCTAAAGCACTTGTTAATCTTAATGTTAATTTCAACATTTAATAACACATTATTTTAAAAAAAGTCTGTTAATATAATTGTCCTGAGACAACATGTATTGAAGCTTGTTTCCAGTTTTCCACCACAGAATAATAATTAAAAAAAGGTATTTGCGACTTCTTATCTCACCATTCACACTTTCTCATAGAAAGTCACAACTGCCTTTTTTATTTTGTGGCAAAAAACAACAACAACAACAAAAAACAGAATGCTGTTTTTTGTTTCCACCATGGAATAAAAAATAAAAAAGGTAATTGCGACATTTTATCTCTCAAGTTTGAGTTTCTCAATTCTGAATTCATATCTCACAATTCAGACTTTTTTTTGCAATTCTGCACTTAATATCTTGCAATTCTGAGTTTATATCTCGAAAAAAAAAATCAGAATAGTGGAATATGAAATCAGATTGTGAGAATGAAGTTAGAACTCTGAGATGAGTTGCAATTACCTTTAAAAAAATTTTTTATCCCATGGCGGAAAAAAGCTTCTATAAACATGAACTAACATGTACTAACTAATGAACTAACTTTTATTAACTAACATTAACAAAAATGACTGGAACAAATGTATTGGTCCTTGTTAGTTAAACGTTAACTAAAGGGACCATATTGTAAAGTGTTTCCAGAAAATGTAATGGCACACAGCACACAACTCAGCTGTAAGCAATGCTGGAGCTATTTATTAGCGCCTGCGCAGTGTGCACGTGTGAATGGTTCACTTGTTTCTGAATAATACTGCCTCTTTGTTCTGTGCGGCTGAGATTTTTATCTCACCTGTTCAGTCAGAAGCACAGAAGCATTGCTATACTTTTGGTTGGTCTCAGCTCCGAGGGTAGCGAGGCGTAGGAGGAAAACCATTAGAGCAGCACACCAGACCATCAGCTCCCAGTTGGTCTCTGAATCCAGAAATGTGTGATGACTGTGCAAAAGCTGAAACACAATACCAGTTTCCTTCTCTCTATTAGACAGTCATATCTTCTAATGGTTAATGTGCAGTGATATGATACTTTACTTTACCTAATCTAAACAATAGATGTCACTTAAATTGTCTCTAAAGATGACTTTATTGCACATTACTAACAGTCAGGAGCACATTTTATACTTACTACTATTCTTACTAGATCCAAATGGCAAAAAAAACTACTTTTTTTTTAAGACAACCAAAGTGATGTGTTATTTTAGTATTATTTATATATGATGTTTAATAGCTTTTGTGAACAATAACAACACTGCGAAGTTTCACGATTAAACCTAAAGTTGCAACAAAGAATATTAACGCTAGATAAAACTGAAGCAATAATTAATGTGCTGTGTAAGTTATAATTCAAGTTAAATGCCACATTTACTATAGCTTCAACGGTACAGCAGTCTCTTTATAAGGCGGGATTTAGGCATGTGACGGTATCAAATTTTGATGTTGTGATAATTGCTAAAGCTTTTATCACGGTAGTGACATAATTTGCAAAAAATGTTGTCATAATATAGTATAACAGGTTTAACTGTTTCCTTCTAACAAA